GTTCAAAAGCATTGATTCTTCTTCTGTCATCTTTAGTCACTGTGCAGCTCTCTGATGCATAGCAAGTAATTTGGAAAACCATGGCCTGTATCAGGTGCACCTTAGTCTCTAGACTGACATCATTGATTTTTAGTACTCTGAAGAAGTCCCTGACAGCACATTTTCCCAGTGCAATTCGTCTTTTGATTTCCTGACTGCTGGTGTTAAATATTGAATGTGGAGCTGAGCAAGCTGTAATTGTTAACAAACTCAGTCTCTTTTCCATCTATCATGGTGCTGCCAATTGGCCCACTGGTGAGAATTTTTGTCTTCTGATGTTGAGTTTCAATCCATATTAAAGGCTACAGTCCTTGACCTTCTGCAGCAAGCGCTTCAGTTCTTCTTAATTTTCAGCAAACAAAATTGTGCCATTTGTATAATGTAGGTATTGATGAGTCTTCCTCCAATCCTGATGTCTCATTCCTCCTCATAAAGCCCTGCTTCCCAATGGATCTCTTCTGAACTCCACAGATTTGCACAAGACAGGATCTGAGACTGCACTATAATCTTCTTAATCAGGTAATGCCGTTCTCCCAAAAATCAGACTTTCATGCCAGTACATTCAGTCCCAAGCCTGAGTTGGGCCCGCGGGCCAAAATACCACCACCATATCAGATCTAGAAGAAACCTTTCAGACCTTGGAAATGTTCCCATTGAGATAGTAGTGTAAACAGAGACACTAAGTCACAAAACTTAACAGAAACTCAGTAGCAAGGAACTTCCCTCAATTCTGCCTCAGGCAAAAATCTTTCCCTATAGTTGGTACATGGGATTTGGACTTAAATCCTCCTAAACGTGAGATAGACAATCGCGTGAGAGACCAGCAGCAGTGTGTGGTGCAAGACATCACAGAAGTGACTTGTGGACGAAGCTGTCATATCAAGAGGGGGCTGGGAAAGGGAGAGGTTGACCAGATAGGTGGGAGTGCAAGGAATGGTGATGTCGCAGGGAAAGGGAAGAGACAAGGCACACGTGCTTGGGGGAGAGGGACAGTGACTGTACTGATTATTTCTGTAAGGGAAGTGTCTTTCATCTGCTCAGTAAAATGCTTGTCTGTTAGATATTGTTCTAAAACTAAGCATCCAAATTTAGACTAAGAAGAAGGATTTGCCATTCACTTCTGAAATATAAGAGGCCTTTGAAAACCCTATGTACAGTAGAGCACAATTAGGGTAGACTAACAGATATGACAACTGAGGCTGAACCCTCAAATTTGGAAACATGAATGAGGAGGAACAGTTTTAAGAAGAAACTAATTATTGGAACGTAGAATGTGAGAAGCATGAATGTAGGAAAACTAGACATTGTTAAGAAAGAAATGGAACGCATAAATATTGACATATTAGGTTTTAATGAAATGAGATGGATTGACATCAGACATTTTGAATCAGACAATCATATGATCAACTACGCTGTAGATGAAAAGGAGAAAGGATACACCCTTTGAAATGCACATAGTTTTAAACCATGTAGTGTTTGGAAAATTGCTTCTTGGTCTATGTACAGATTTTGTATGAGCACAATTAAGTTTTATGGGATACCCAGTTTTCTCAAAGTTAGCCATAATTCGTCATGATCCACACAATCAGATGCCTTTGCAAAATCAATAAAGTAGAAGTAAGCATCTTTCTGATACTCTCTGCTTTCAGCCAAGATCCGCCTGATAGCACCAATGACATCCCTTGTGTATATGTCAGTGTATATGCATTTATTCAAAAGATACATTGGGGATAGTTTTCTTTTCATTTTTAAATTTTTTAAAATTTTTTTTTTAATTCTTGCTCAAAGATTTCTTCACCAAAGAACTAGAAAACCTCAAGCACACTACTTTCTAGTCAGAACTGACTCATAGCTGACCCTCCAGTGGTTTTGGGGAGGCTGTAAAACAACTGGAGGGAGATTGTCCATCTCTCTCTCTGAGCTGCTGGTGGAGTTGAGTCTCCAAAGAGGTGCCACCTGCAGATTAGCAGCGTAATTCTACAGACTATGCCACTAGAGGCCCTGTCGTCACTAAAAGGTTGCTGAAATTCAGGAGAATAATAACATTGGTCGTGATGATGTAAACTGGGGAGCCCCCTCCTTGAGGAAATGCCGCAGACAGTCGCCTGTAATGATTTGTGGTACTGCTAAGCCTCAACTTATGTTCCTTTTTGGTGTGGAGACTCTCCATGGAGAGAGCTGCAAAATAGGGGCAGAGTTTTTAGATGCTCCTGGTTCTATTGCTAGACTCATAAAGATACAGATATTTCTAGGATACATTGTCGTTGTTGTGAGCCTTCAAGTCAAGACTGCAGGTTTTCAGAGGAAGTAAATTGCTCCAGAGGAGATTGCCTAGCCTTCCCCCATGGGGCATCTGGTGGATTTGAACCCACATGCCCTTGGCATTGCAGCACAGCTTTTTACCACAAGTCCACCAGAGCTCGACTGCTAAGAAAAAGAACTGGTTCATCCTGTTGTTGTTGTTGTTATGTGCCGTCGAGTGGCCTGCGACTCATAGCAACCCTATGTACAACAGCCCTAAACTCCGCTCTGTCCTGTGCCAATCGCACTGTCTCCGACACTCCCATCCCAATTATCCCAGTCACTGAATCAATCCACCTCATAGAGGGCCTTCCTCTCCTGCGCCGTCCCTCCACCCTCCCAAGCATGATGTCCCTCTCCAAGGACCGGTCTCTCCTCACTACATGTCCGAAGTAAGTTAGACAGAGCCTCAGAATCCTTGCCTCCAAGGAGCCACCCGGTTTAACCCTCTCCAGGACAAATCTATTTGTTTTCCTAGCAGTCCATGGTATTCTCAGTACTCTTCTCCAGCACCACAGAGGGTTAAACCACACTGCTCCTTGGAGGCAAAGATTCAGAAGCTTTGTCTGACATACTTTGGACATGTTGCAAGGAGGGACCCATCCTTGGAGAGGGATGTCATGATTGGGAGGGTGGAAGGACAGCGCAGGAGGGGAAGACCCTCTATGAGGTGAATTGATTCAGTTACTGGGGTGATGGGGGTAGGTGTGTCAGACATTGAGACTGGCACAGGACAGAGTAGGGTTTAGGGCTGTTGTATGAGCTGCACGTGACTCGATGGCATATAACAACAACAACAAATTTCTAGACTCAGTTTTTCTATTCTTTGACCACCAGGGCAGGTGACACGGACGACCTCTCTGCTTCTCATTCCATAAAGAACTGCGTCTGTTATGAGATGGCCCAGTACATTCTTCATGCCTCTCCCCTGAAATTGCCTTATTAGGAAAACTAGCCCCTTGACACCACTGCTGTGTCCCCAGTGGTAATCATATGAATGCAAGCCAGGGACCAGGGAGAACTCCCACCGTGGGCTCAACCCCAACACCTGAGAGTGACTGAATCACCTGAAATCTGCTGGGAGAAGTTCCTGCCAGATAGACAGTGAACAGAGAACCTGGAGAGAAGGCACAAGAGAAGCTGGAGGCTTCACAGGCACCCTGGAGGAGGGCGCGAGGTCTGTGCAGTGCAGCATCAGCCCAGCACACAGGGCTCAGAACTGAGCTCTAGGTTGGCAGATAGATACTTGCTAAATGAGTGAATGAATGGCTAAATGACTGAGTGAAACGGTCAGGAGGGAGAGAGGAGAGTAGTTTCGCCATGGGACTAACAAACAGAGTAGCAGAGTGGCTGCTTCTTGAGTAGCTGAACATGGAACAGCACACCCACTCACCCTGATCAAATGCTCACTGCCTACCAGGCCCTGTGCTAAGTGTTTCTTGGCAGTTAAGAGAGGTGGAAAGTTCTGTGCATTGCGAGTTCCAGTGGTGGCTGTGGTGAGGTTGGTGGCTGGGTCTTGGGGAAAAGGCAGCATGCATAAGTTCCACCTCCATTTTCCAGAGGGTGGGGAACAGCAATGGAAGGGGTGCCAGTGGTCAGGAACGGAGCTGGAGTGTATATTGGAAAAAGGAAGTCTGCACACAGAAGCAGAAAGTGTTTGCGTATCTTGTGAGAGGAAACTTTGGGGTGAGGGAAAATTGCACACACACAAAAGTTTTCAAATGTTTTGTTTGGGAAGCTTTTTTTGCCTCAATAAGGGAGCTCTGGTAGCCTAGTGGTAAGGAGTTGGGCTGGCAATCCAAAGGTACGTGGTTCAAATCCACCAGCTGCTTTTCTGAAGAAAAATGGGCAGTATCTTCCAGTGCAGTTAACTGCCTCTGAAAACACGCTGGAGGGTCAGCGATGGGCCACTTCCGACTTGATGGGATACATCAACAACAATATGCTAACCTAAAGGTTGGATACTTAAATCCACCTAGAAACTACTAGAAGAAAGGCCTGATGATCTACAAACAAATCGTTAACAAAACCAAGAAGCATACTTCTGCCCTGACAATCATGGGTTACCATGAGTTGCAATCAATTCTTGAAACAAAACTCAAAACCTTCTCTCAGAGGGAGATAGGAACTCTCAGCATTCCCGGGGTACTCGCTGCATTGTTTTCCCAAAATTCTCACCAAAGCAGGGAGATCAAATAATTTACTATTCACTTGTAAGAGTGAAATGAAGGTTGCCAGTACACCTGGACAACAGACCCAAAATGGGCTTTGTGGTCACCAAATAAAAGGCCCTTTCGACACTTTTCTTCCATGCCTCCCTATCTCTTTGTCAGATCTGGAACCGTATTTCTGGCGCCGTGCTGGGCCCAGGGCGGGAGGAAGCGATTCAGCCTGGACCTGGACACCACAGGTAGAAATCGCGAGGCTAAGGGGTTCAGCTTTCCCTCCAGGTCGCCGCCCGGTGGCTGAGAGGATCCGAAATCCACGGGCTTCAGAGACTCGCTCACCCGATGGCCACGAGGGGGCGCGCCAGGGCAGCCGAGAGGCGGTGCGACAGCTCGGAGGCCGGGGCGGGCCGTGCGCGCTGGGCGGGGACGCGACGACCACGCTGGCACCGCCCGGTCCCGTGACTGCACGCTCCGCCCGCAGCCGCCGCGGTCATGCAGTGCCCTGCGGTGCTCATCACCTCCAGGTGAGCTAGACCCCCGCGCCCGGGCACTACGCCTGGGCCCCTTGGAGACTGGGTGCCCTTGAGTCACAGCCTCGTGCGCCCAAGGCGCAGAAGGCCTGGCCGCGGTCCCCTCGGGGTCTGCCCTCCCAGCCGGGACCTCCCCAGCGCTCTCTGCTGGTGTATGGGGGTGGGCCGCTCCACTACTCTTGTAGTGTTGGGCGGCATCGAGCTTTTGGTTTGTAAAGATGAGAAACCTTGACATTCTCTGGAGGGACAAGAACTCATCTGAGACCAAATGGAAGATTTTGGGACTGACTGGCCTAGTGAAAGCCTCATTCCTTGGAGCCTGAATAACCAACCAGTCCCTGGTAAAGGAGACAGGGATGAACCCAGACTTGCAGTGTGATACATATTAGAGGGACAGTGAGTTTAGATTGTCATAGGAACACAGTATTGGGGGGGGGGGACAATTTACCCAGACTTCTAGGAGGAAGAGAATGAAGCTCCAAGAGTGGGCTTTATCCAGGTGAAAGGGAGAGAGGAGGTGGCAGCTGCTCCAGAAGGGAACTCAAGAGAAGCACAAGTTCCAGCAAAAATTCCCAGAAGTGACCAGGGTGGAGGATGCAGTGTAAGCCCACTTTGACCGAGATGGGGAGGACCCCACAGAGCATGAATCCTGGAAAGACTGGGATGGACATGGATCTGCGGTTTAGTGTTTTTGGTTTTGTGGGTTTGGTTTTTGTTTGTTTTTTTAGTAGCTGTAAAATAACGTACTTGAAACACTTTCATGCTCTCCACCCATGCTCCCCCAGCACAAAAGCTTGTGCAGAGATACCAGTTATATAAATAAATGTAATCACTTCAGTCATCAGAGCTTTCCTGTGACTTAAAGGCTAGGAAATGTAGTTTGGGTGAAAATTTATAGAGGAAATTAGCTTTCCATTCAATAATTTAGAAACATGTTGTTTTGTAACATTTTTTTGCAATCCCTTCCCTTAACAACTGCTTTTCCCATTTCTTCTCGGGTTTTCCCTTTCTGTTTGTCCTGTTTCCCTGCCAGTTACTGCCTTTTGACTTGGTTTTTGGAGGATAGTGTGCATTTGCTATGATTGACAGCACTGAGGACACATTCCTCAATTGGTATAGACCTGTCTTGTTGGGCTGAAAGTTGTTCCCTGAGAAAAGATTCAGTGCCCAACTTGAGTGCCACTACATCAGACCAGAAAGTGCACTCTGTTATACATTTTTGTTGTTGTTTTTCTGCTTTCCCCCATTTTTCTGTCCAGGAGCAGTTGTTAGTGGTAACTGGGCACCATCTAGTTCTGGTCTTTGGACAGCAGAGATTGTGGTTCTTGTACTTTTTTAGTCCTCTGGGCTAATTATTTTCTTGAGTCTTGGATTTTCTTTACTCGTTTGAGCTCCAGGTGACAAGAGACCAACATCTGCTTTTTTACGTGACTGTTTACCATCTTTGAAGATTTCACTTGTTCCGTCTCTCATGCTTTGGTCATGTTGTTAACAGAGGTCATTCCTTGGAGAAGGACCTCATGCTTGGAAAGGTGGAGGGACAACGAAGGAGAGGAAAATCCTCAACTAGGTGGATTGACACAGTGACAGCAACAGTGACTTGAGCATGTCAGAGATTTCAGGATTGCAAAGGATAGGACAGAGTTCAGATCTGTTGTTCAGAGGGTCGTTATGGGCCGGACTCAGTTCGATGACACCTAACAACAACAAACACGGAAGGAGGTTGTGGATCATTGTCTTTATGGGCTATGTTATGCCAGTTGACCTCCTTGTCCCCTGAGTTAGGTGACTTAAGTACTCGAGCACAGTGAGTCATCACCTAGGGATTTGGTTATGACTAAGGACTTTTCAGAACTTTGTCCTCTGTATTCTTTGCAAGGACCGTGACTGTATCTATAGCACGTACACACACACGTATGGAAATATCCTTGCCAAACCTGTATATACTTGTGAGTGTACTTGATTGTTTCTTGCAGTAAGCTCTAATGTCAGAACCTGCTCAGCCTTCACAGGGTGATATAATGAGGTTACAGGTCATAGTTTTATTATCCAAGGAGGTTTCCCCAGTGCCACCTAAGTGACTTCCTCTTCCTAGGCTAGAGATGTCTCTTGTCCAAAATGTAGGTTTAAAGATGACAGCGTTATGGCAGAAATTGCAAGATTCTAAACATTCAAAGTTTGAGGACCAACAGAACCTTACTGTATGCAGTCAAGAACGTCAGCTGATGCTGAAACCGTTCCGACCTGAGGGGACGCAAAAGTTGGGATATAAAGAAATCGAGCATGGAAGTTACACAAAGTTCCTTTTGATTGACAGTTGAGATTTCTTCGTATTTGGAAGTCATTACAGTTCCTGACATCTCATGGATTTCAGGCCCTGGACTAGGTGCAGAAGGAGTGGTAACCAAGCTGGGTCAGTTTGTACTAGAACATCAAACTTAATAAAACATGTTATTGCCAAATTTATTGAGGCATACATTTCTTAAAGTGGCTGTCAGAACAAAATAGCTTCCCTGATGCTAATATTGGGAAGCTGTGGTCGCCCAGTGGCAAGAAGCTGCGCTGTAGTCTGGAAGGCCTACTGTTCGAGGCCACCAGCGGGAGAAGGATGTGCGGTTAACTGCCTCTGAAAACCCACCAGAGGGTCATCTGACTCTGGGTCGGTTCTGACTCTGTGGCATACAACAACAACAACATGATGCAAACATAAAATGGGTTCTTTACTGCTTAACATATAAGCTGCCACTGCAATAGGTATGGGCCTTATCAGCAGCAAACACCTTTCTCAGCCACGTGCAGACCAGTGAGGGTATGACGTTTCTTGTGTGTGGATGCCTTCTGTCACTGGCCAGCCTGTACACAGGGCTGACACAGGGTCCCTAGTGAGGAGGCCACATGAGCCCAGACTCATTTCTTGTGGCAGGACCACTAAGTCCAAGGAGCTTGCCTCCAGAAGTGCTTTAGTCCAGCACCTAAGCAGACCCTTCATAGTTGGGCCCTCATTTTTCTTTCTAGCCTAACTCTGTATCCTCTCTATGCTTTATAAGCATTCGTCTCCATTTGGATGTATTTATTCATCTAGCAGGTTAATTTACTGTGCCAAGTAATAGGCTAAGTTCAAGGATACAGTGGTGATCCAGAGTCCCTGTCATGAAGCCTTAGAGGGAGCAGATGGCAATAGGTGGTGGTGGGTGTCTTGAATACGTTGCCACACACTTTTTAAATTGACGACCATGCTTAGAAACACATTTGCTGTCATTTGTGGCAACGTGTTAAATACCATCGATTTGGAAACAATTCATACCAGGCTTTGCAGTCACTTTTCAGAAACAATAAATTGCACAGACACATGAATTGTGAAGCTAAACATCAAGAAAATAAAGATCCCCACCACTGGGCCAATTGGCAGTATCATGATAGATGGAGAAGAGATTGAGAGTGTTAACAATTTCAGCTTGCTTGGTTCCACAGTTGACACTCTTGGTACCAGCAGTCAGGAAATCAAAAGATGAATTGCGCTGGGGAAGTCTGCTGTCCAGGACCTCTCCAAAGTGCTAAAGAGCAATGTTTCAGTCTGGAAACTAAGGTGTCCCTGATCCAGGCCGTGGTTTTTGCAATTCCTTGCTATACATCAGAGAGCTGGACAATGACTAAGGAAGAAAGAAGAAGAATTGATGCTTTTGAGCTGTGATGCTGGAGAAGAGTATTGAACATATCATAGATTGTCAGGAGGACAAATTGATCTGTCTCAGAAAGGGTGAAACCAAGTTTCTCCTTGGAGGCAAGGATTTTGAAGCTCTGTCTCACATATTTTGAGCACGTGGCCAAGAGGCCAGTCCTTGGAGAAGGACATCCTGCTTAGAATGGTGGAGGGACAGGGCAGGAGAGGAAGACTCTGGACAGGATGGATTGGCACAGTAACTGTGATAATGGTATTATGTGTGTCAGAGTCAGTGAGACTGGCTCAGGATAGGGCAGGGTTCAGAGCTGCTGTACATAGGGTTACTATGAGTCACAGATGACTTGATGCCACATAACAACAACAACATGAGAGATGTGAGCAAAAGAAAGAGCAGTAAAGACAGAAAACAAGATTTTTGTCATAAGTCACTGGAGGGGTGAAGTTGCCATTGGCTAGAAAGACCAACAGGAGCAGATTTATGGTGGAGATCGAGATTCATGTAGCTGAGATTATTTTAAGAAGCTTGTTAGTTTTCAAGTGGAGATGTCGGACAAGCAGGTAAGAAGAGTCTGGACTATAAACTTCACCTTGGATGTTTTTGCCTCAGAGATGATATTTGAAGCCTTGAAACTGGATGAGATTATTTGGGGAGGGGTATAGCCAGAGAAGAGATGAGGCTCTGGGTGAAATCAGGAGGGACCAACCACAGAAGTGGAGCAAGCCTGGCCAGTGAGTGGTGAAGAGTCGGGTGTTCTGGGAGCCATTAAAGACTGTTTTCTGGTGAAGAGGAATGACTGTGTCATGTGCTGCTTCAAAGTCAAGTAAAAGGAGGTGGAGAAGGAACCTTTGCATTTAACAATCTGAGATCACCAGAGAACCTGTCATGTGCACTTTCAGTTGTGTAATGAGGTGTAAGAATGGTTGGAATGATCATACCAAAGAGAGGAACCAGAGAGAGTGCATGTCAGCAAGTCTTTCAAGGAATTTTACTGTAAAGAGGAACAGAGAAATGGAGTGGCATTGACTCCCAGGAAATGGCGGGTCTCAGCATTGTTTTTAAAAGAAATTAGAGTCAGGAAACTGCACTGCAATCCCAGAAGTGTGCGGTTCAAATCCACCAGATGCTCTGCTGAAGAAGGAGGAAAAATCGCCTCCTTTACCAGTCAGATCCAATTTGACAGTACACACATAAAAAAAAAAGAATAAAAATATATAAATAAAAAAATTGTAAAAATTAAAAGAAATAAGAGCATGATTGAGTGATTCTAAGAATGGTCCAGTAAGGAGATTGTTAGTGGAGAAGAGAGAGGAGAGGGTCCTTAAATAAATGAGAACTACGATCCACACCTCAGTAGGAATTGGCCTTAAGTAGTTTTCAGATACCTCTGAGCCTATTACAACTGCTGGCAACCATCTGAGCAACAGCTCCGAGCCCAAGAATTCCTGCTCCGTCCCGATGATCTCTCATAGGCTCAGGCCCCTTCTTACAGTCGCTGTGTCAATCACTATGGCTGAGGATTTTCTTCCCCTGACCCTTCACCTTTCCCAGCAGAATGGCTTTTTCCAAGGTCTGACCCCTCCTGACAACATATCCAAGTATATGAGGTGAAGTTTCACCATCCAAGGAGTACCCTGGTTGCACCTTCTCCAAGACGGACATGTTTGGTGGAGTTTTTTTGGTGGTTTTTCTTTTTAGCAGTCCGAGATCTTCCCTTAATACCACAGATCAAAGGTATTAATTCTTCTTCTGTCATCTTTATTCATTGTCTAACTATCTGGTCTTATGGAGGAGCTAGTTATTTCATCCAGAAGACAGGAGGGGACGTGGTGTCCAGGGAGCAGGTGGCAGGTGTGATTTGAAGCCTCCGGAAGTTCTCTGGCATACTCTTAGTGAATGGAAAGCAACGCCATTAGCTGAGAGTCGATTTTGAAGAGCAAAAATAACAATTTAGATCTCATGACATGCTCACCAGCGGATCCCCTGGAGGATCTTTGGGCAGCATCAGCACCACCTGGGAGCTTCTTAATGATGTCAACTCTCCAGGCTTACTGAATGTGAGTAAGACCGATCCCCAGGTGACTCGAATGCACATTCAAGTTTCAGAAACTCAGTCTAGGGCAAGGGCTAAATATGTTCTCATAAATAAATTTTTTTTAAATATACCCTTATTGGTTTTTGAACTGTGTGTGGCTGATTCCAGCTGCACAAACCAAGGCTTTGAATCCATTTATTCTCATTCAGCCCCTGCTGAGAATTTGCATTTCCACCCAGACTTATGGAGTTAGGATCTACAGTTTAACAAGATCTACATTTGACAATATTGAAAGATACTATAGGCAATAGAGTGAATGACCTAGAAAACATCAAAAAAAGATGGAGGGGATATAGAGTCACTATACCAAAACAGAACTGACTGATACCGAAAAATTTCAGGAAGTATCGTATTAACAGGAGCCAGTGTGAATGAAGGAGGAAGTGAAAGCTGCAGTGGCAAAAAAAAAAAAAATCAGTCCCCAGGAATTGATAGGATACAAATTGACTTGTATCAATTAAGAGATGCCACCTGGATGCACTCACCAGTCTTTGCTAGGAAATTTGAAGGACAGCTGTTTAGCTAATGGATTGGAAAAGGTCCATGTTTGTGCCCATTCCCAAGAAAGGTGATCTAACAGAATGTGGAAACTATTGAAAATATCATTAATAGGTAAGCAAAATACTGCTGAAGATCATTTAAAAATGGCTAGAACAGTGCATAGATGGGGAACTGCCAGAAGTTCATGCAGGAATTAGAAGTCGTGGCACCATAGATATCATTGTTGATGTCAGATGGATCCTGGCTGAAAGTAAAAACTATCAGAAGAATGTCTATTTATGTTTTACTGACTATGCAAAGGCATTTGACTGTGTGGATCATAACAAGTTATGGCTAATATTGAGAAGAATGAGAATCCCAGAGCATTTAATTGTGCTCGTGTGGAACCTATACCTAGACCAGGAATCTGTTGTGGAAACAAAGCAAGGGAAGACAACATGACTTTTAAGAAGGGAGTGCATCAGGGTTATATTTTCTCTTCATACAGAAGTCAGACTCTATGAAGAGGAAGGTGGCTTCAGGATCAGAGGGAGATTCATCAATAACTTGCATTGTGTAGATGACACAACCCTGCTGAAAGTGAGGAGGACTTGAAGCACTTGTTGCAGAAGATCAAAGAATTCAGTCTTCAATATGGATTGTATCTAAGTGTCAAGAAAACAGAGATTCTTACTACTGGACCGATAGGCAACGTCATGATAGATGGAGAAAAGACTCAAACTGTTAACAGCTTCATCTTACTGGGATCCACAGTCAACACCTTGATAACACCTAGGAAATCAGGAGACGTACTGTGCTGGGAAAGTCTACAATTAGGGACCTCTCCAGATTTTTGAGAAGTAATGATGTCAGTTTGAGGACAAATGTACGTCAGATTCAGGCCATGGTCTTTCCCATCACTTGTTATGCATCTGAGACCTGGACAATGAATAAGGATGACAGAAGAAGAACTGATGCCTTTGAGCTGTGGTGTTGAAGAAGAGCACTGAACATCCCATGGACGGCCAAGAGAACAAACAGATATGTCTTTGGAGAGGGTGCTGCTGGAGTGCTCTTTGGAGGCAAAGATGATGAAGCTTCATCTCACGTACTTTGAGCATGTTACTAGGAAGGGCTGTTCCTTGGAGAGGAACATGATGCTTGGAAGGGTGGAGGGTTGGAGAAGGAGAGGAAGACCCTTGATCAGGTAGATTGACATGGTGACTGCTGCAATGGTCTGGCATGCTTCTGGTGTGACACAAAGTGTGAGGATAGCACAGGACGGGATAAGGGTCAGCTCTCTTGTTCGTTGGGTCATTACAGGTCATACTCGACTCAGTGGCATCAAACAACACCACATTTAGCAACATGCACAAATAAGACTCACCTGGAGAATGTTATTTAGAAACCCCAACAAGAGCAGAATTTAGTGATTGAAACAGAGACGCTATGTGGTCTGTTACAGAAGAAGTTTTTTTTAGGAACCTAGAGAAGTGACAGAGGGGATGCATCAGGTTCAGTGTCTCAGGATCACTTGGAGGGCTTGTTAAGCACCTTGCTGGGCCCACCTCCCAGCCCAACAGCTTCCTTTTGCCTTTCTGGCAAGTTCCCAGGTGCTAATGCTGCTGATGCAGAAACTGTCTCCTCTCTTCATACTGGTGTTTTTTTGTTGCTCTGTGGGGTTTTTTTTGTTTGTTTTTTTTTTTAATTATTGTTTTTGTGTGTACCATCAAATCAGATTTGATTGGTACAGGAGGGGATTGCCCTTCCTCCATCAGAGCATCTGGTGGATTTGAACCATGCACCTCTTGGATTGCAGTGCAGCTTCTTGCCACTAGGCCACCAGAGCTCCTTTTCATATTGATTTATAAGAAGGATAAGAGTTCTTCTAGTGGCCTAGTCTTTAAGGAATTGGGCTACTTAACCAAAGGCAGCACCATTGGTGGTTCAAATCTGCCAGCCAATCACAGGAGAAAGATGAGCATTCTCCTCCAGTGCAATTTACGACCTCAGATAACCCACAGTATGGTCAGGTATGAGTCAGTTCTAACTTGACAACAATGAGCAGGTGAGAGAGTAAGCCCTCTGGCCACAAGGAGGTCTTGTCTGCATTTCCATCAAGAGTTCTGCTAAGCTGAACCCAAACTTCCTTTGCTTTCTCTTCTCTTTGGCAGGCAGGTCCAGAATGTCCACACGGGCCTAGACCTGACCGTGCCCCAGCACCAGGAGGTGCGGGGCAAGATGATGTCAGGCCACGTGGAGTACCAGATCCTGGTGGTGACCCGGCTCGCTGCATTCAAGTCAGCCAAGCACAGACCTGAGGATGTTGTCCAATTCTTGGTGAGCTGGGGGCTCTGGCCACGGCCTGGGGGAGCCTTTGGAGATCCACTGAGATGCATCTATCTATCCACTAGGAATACAGTAGAATCAGTGAGAGGACATTCACTAAGGTCTGTGAGTGCCTCTCCGTGTTGGGTGGTCAGGATACCAGCTGCAGGCATAGATGGGTACAGTATGTGAGAGACAGACATAGGTGGACGGCACACAATTGGGGAGGGGGAGGGCACATATGGAAGGGGTACTTCACGCACTTGGGACAGAGAATTCAGGAAGGAAGACTTCTGGGAAGATGTCTGAGCTGTGTCTTTAAAAAAAAAAAAATTAACTTTTGGTTGTGAATTGGATGAATCACAATCACTACATCTTAGAAAGCAGATGGGCTGCACAAGCCACGATCTCATCTAACCCATATGAGTTCAAAAAAGCTGGATGGTGCTCCACTGTCACTTCCAGCCATTCTGATCAAGGCCACAGTGAATGGATCTTGATAGAACAGGAGGAGACCGTGGAACAGAACTTAAATTTGTATACAGTCCAGACTTTCTGGTTCCAGTGAGCCAGCAAGAATCCCCGAGTCTACCACTTGAAGATGCTCTTTAAACCTTGAATGAAAATGTACTGAGGTCAGCTTAAAGTGAAAACAAATTGGCACACAAAATAATGTGTATTATCCACCACTCTGGTACGCCATTAAAAAAATATCTAAAATTTTTAAAACAAAAAAGAAAAAGAAAAAAAAAGACAATTTTTCAAAAAAGCATTTGTATGAGACCAAAAGGTCAACAGACCAAATATGAGGAGTTAAGGGGGCATGGAAACTAGAACATTGGAAACAGAACAACCTGAATACACAGAAAATGTTGACCCATTATGAAAAATGGAATACTGCTGAACAGTTTGTATAGAAGTTGTTAAATGGGGCCTAAAATTATACTGAAACACGGTAACATTTAAAAAAAAAAATTAAAATCAAATGGTAGCTAAAGCAGAAGGGGAAAGAGGGTGTTCTAGGAGAAAGTGCAGTCTAACAAAGCCACTGAAGCCAGAAGCAGGGCCCATGTGAGGAGCTCTGAATAGTTAAGTATCATCCTAGGATGAGATTCAAGGTAGAGTGAATGCTGGGCGTGGCCTAGGTTGTAGATGGCTGAGCAGGGGCCTGGCTTGTCTTAGAGCAGTGAGGTGACATGATCTTATTTCCATTTCACAGGCTGGATTGATAGGACAGTGTATTGGATAAAAAGGAGTAGAACGGAGGCTGGCAAGTGTAAATAGGAAGCTAATACAGTAGCCTCCAAGGTAAGGGCTTGGTCAGTTGTAATTGGAATGGAAAGGAGGGAGTTGGGGAAATTTACAAGATAACACCTGCAGGGGGCAGTGGTGGTTCAGTGATAGAATTCTCATCTCCATGTAGCAGAGCTGAAGTCCCTGCCAGCACACCTTCTCTGCAGCTACTACATCTGCCAGTGAAAGCGTGAGTGTTGCTCTGATATTTAGCAAGTGTTAGAAATTCTGTGCTGAAATAGATTAAGAGGAAAGGCCTGGTTGATCTTAAAAATATTAGCTAGTGAATACCCTGTGGATCATGAGGCAACATGAGTTAGGGGCTGACCTGTCATCTGCTAACGACAGTGCTCTCATGATTGACTGACTTGTTTCCATTAGCTGAGATTAAGATCATATATGGAGGGCTAATCAAAATTGGGTGTGGTGAGCATGAATTGCCCAGTGGAAGTTTGTACAAAAGTGGAGCTTGGAAGACAGATCAGGTCTATGATGCAGATTTGGAAGTAAGTATCTGGATAGGAATGGAAGTAACCCAGGAAGCAGAGGTGGAGGGGAGAGAAAGGGGCCAAGGACAAGTTCAGGGACCATCAAGGGAGAGGACTGTACAAATGAGATAGAGAGAAGAGAAGTGGGTGACTGCAACACAGAAGCTAAGGGAGGAGAGAGTTTCGAGAGGGGATGAGATCACAGATTCGTTTATTGTTTGTTTACCATTTGGCTTCTCGTAAAAAGGCCTGGAACGTGTGACCATGGGAGGACACAGGATTACTAGGGTAAAAGTAAAATGAGCGAGGTCGTGCGTCACAGGGGTGAAGCACCCAGGTCTGCTCATGCTGCAGGTTTGCAAACCTGCATCATCTGGCAGCCAAGGCAGAAAGTGAACCAATGAATTACATAGCTCTCATGACAAAATTCCAAGAGGATTTTCTAGCATGATTCTTTCATGGAATGTGCCTAAAATAGTAAAATTAGCAATACTTCTCATTTGAATGGTTTGCGTTGCTTCCGAGTGGCTTTGCTTGCATGGCAGTTTTCAGCTTCTTAGTCATCTGCTTTCATCCGCAATGGTGCTCAGGATAGCCACATTTTCAGTGGTACGTGTCTGAGAGGTAGAGTCTCAGAGGTGCATATCTAAGATTGATTGATCTCTCTGGATATGAGCCTTTGAGGAGTGCCCAGGCAGCCCACTCTTTGCTATCAGCTCTACACGGAGGTTATAAATGGAGCCAGCTTTCAGATCTTCACATATCCAGTCATGCCTTGTGATGGGGTGACGGTGTGTGTGTAGCAACATGTGTGCATGGACAGGTGCTTCTCAAACATTTTGAAATGTCTGCTAAACAGAACTGCCATTCTCTCCCTGTAGGACCCAGCAGGGGAGTCCAAAGTACAAACTCTGAGCAGAAAATCTGTTTCAGGCTTTATGGTTTAGCTTAAAAATTTAATAAGAATTTTGCCTTCTACTCCTTTAAAAAGAGCTGTGCTGCAGTCCCAAATGCATGTGGTTTGAATCCACTCGCTGTTCTGCGGGAGAAGGATGGGCAGTCTCCTCCCATGTGATTAACTGCCTCTGAAGACCCACTGGAGGGTCAGGTGTGGGTCAGTTCCAACTTAACAACAAACAATTCCTTTAAAACAAGGGAGCTCTAATAGCTTACTGGTAAGGCGTTATGCTGCCAACCTTGAGGCAGGTGGTTTGGATCCACCGGCTGTTTCACAGGAGCATTCTACCTTCCTGTGATTAACTGCTCTGAAAACTTGCTGGAGCATCAGCTAAGGGCTGGTTCAAACTCAATTGTACACAACAACAACAACTTTTAAAAGATATATATGCATTGATATAAAGCTTTGTAAAGAGCGGGAGTGCTCTTTGGAGGCAAGAATGATGAGGCTTAACCTCACAGACTTTGGGCATGTTGCTAGGAGGGGCTATTCCTTGGAGAAGGACATGATGCTGGGAATGGTGGAGGGTCAGTGAAGGAGAGGAAGACCCTCAATCAGGTGGACTGACAAAGTGACTGCTGCAGTGGGCTTTGGTATGTCAGGAAGTATGAGGATGGTACAGGACAGGACTGAGTTCAGATCTTTTGTTCATAGGGTCTCTAGGAGTTGTACTCCACTCATTGGTACCTAACAACAACAACAAACAACAGTGTTTCATTTCTAACCATGGAGTCACCGAGGATGGACACTGTGTGTGTTTGTGTTAACCCAGGATGGACAATGTGTGTGTTTGTGGGTTTGCAGACACCCCACTCATATTTGTGGTGAGCCACACATCTTAGAAGGGCGTAGGGCAGCGTCACCGTTTGCTCAGCATTCTGCCCAGTGCAGGTACCAGTTAATGCTAGTCGCACGTGCTTCCCTGAGAGCCTCAGACTTGTCAGCCTCCTCTTGCTGCTAGTGCAGATTAACTACCTAAAGAAGCACAGAGTGTGGAACACTGATGAGGTTCTGAATAGGTTGGCGACCCCAAATGTAGAGCACCCTGGAACCTCATATTGTCTAGGAACCTCAAGTTCCTAGAACCCTGGTTCTGGTGGATCTGTGATGCAGGCCTGCAGGGCACCCCCAGGCCGGCAGAGGGCACCCCGCCCCACTCCCCTACTCCTGTGGCCTGCTCTACCAGAACTAGGTTTTCTGAATTTTGCACTTGTTGTAATCCATTTTGTGAAAGAGCCCACTTGTCTGTTTTCTTGAGGCTTGTTCTCAGGAAAGCTCAGGAAAGTTCTCAGGAGCCAGGCTCTTGTGCCTGGTGTTGACATCAGTGGGTAACGTCTCCTTTCCCCACTGACGGAGTCTCCCTTTAGGGGCCTCTGAGGCCTGATGGGTAAGGAGTTGCCCTGACAACCCAAAGGCGCCCTCACTGCTCCTCAGGAGAAAGATGGGCAGTCTCCTCCTGTGTAATTTGCAGTCTTTGAAAACCCACTGGAGGCTCAGCAGTGAGTTGGTTCCAACTTGATGATAACAGGGTATTTTAAAAGAGACTTCCTCCCAGCATCAAGCTTGAATGGTCATTTTAAGAGTGTGGACCTCCAGACCCCTGTGCAGAGGAGGGGCTAGGCCCCCCAGGTTTTAATACACCAGATGTCCTGCAGTCAGTCAGCCATACAGCAGTGTCTGCAGTGGTACTGAGAGTGACCTGTCCCAGGAGCATAAAGTGTGAATGGTATGTGTGTCCCTCTCAGTGGCGTCAAGGACGAGTTGAGGAGACAGGCCCAGCACATGGGGAATTCAGGGTGGAGAGTTGGTGTCGGGCTGATAGTGGAGGGTGAGGGTAAAGCAGGTGACAGACCTTGGCGCTGACACTGAGCCCGGGTCCTGTGATTTCTCACCCTCTTTAGTCTCCTTGAGACCAAGAGTCTTCAGAGGCAGAGACCACGTTGAGGTGCCCCATAGAGAGTGACTAAGCAAGCTCTGTGACCCACTGGGGTGGTGGGAGAGGCAGAAAAGGAGGCGCGCTCAGTCAGCACCTAAGACCACCCCTTTTTAGCCATCAGGAAATTTTAAAAATAAATTCTGCCAGATTAAAAACTCTTAGAGACTCATTTAATTATTGGCTTATAATAAATTTATATTAATAAAGTATATATATATATCTATATCTGTACAAAATGGTGAATATAAAAATTAATGTGATTATTTACTTAATTTTTCTTTTTTGTTTTGTTTTGGGTTTTTAATTTTTATTTTATCTTGGTTTGCCTACACAGTTTGTATAAATTGTGTTTCACATTATCCTTCATTCACATTGTGTTTCATACAATCATTCTGATTTATTATATTTTATAAAATTAATCACCATTGCCCCATGTTTCACATCTCCGCAGGATCTTTCCCATTTCTTTTATCCGCTCCTCCCTCCATCCGTCAAATTGTGTAACCCTATGATTCCCTCCCCCCTGCCCACCCTCCCCTCCTTGGATCTTCATACACATTTTACTAGTTACCTTTCTATTTCTACAAACCACCTTCTAACAGCCAGTAGGAGCCCTGGCCCGCCACACTGTGGTGCCGATGTGCTGGGAGATTGCCTAACCATCGTGGTTCCATGCAGGGTGGAGAGGCCAGAAGCAAGGCTGAGAGAGTGATGTTTGTCTTCACAGTGTAAGCACTTGTAAGGACAAGCCCGGCCAGAGGCTGCCTCAGTTCATAGGCGAATGACTAACAGATCTACTGAGAACAGGTGACTCATGTTGTTATAGGAAGATGACCCACTCCCCTGCCAGCCCTGCTGTCACTTTGCTGATGCACCCAAAGTCTGGAATGACCGTAGCAGCAGTAGTCGGTCACCTGCCGACCAGGCCAAGCACCAGTCCCCGTTTCATGTCTTCACCAGACCTGTCACATTATCTGGAATCTGGCCATCACTTCAACTTTCCTTGGAGCACTTACAATTCTTGTAATTGAGCCTCTCATTCACTCAGAGGGCCATGGATTGGAGTTTGAGGCATGATGACAACAGAGAATAAGGATTGTGGCGTGTCCGAGAAAGCCTGCTGCATCACCTGGCCATTGTCCTGGGGAGCACTCTCCAATAGCCTGGCTCTCTTGGGGCCCCTGGGTGAAGCAAATGTTTTCTCATCAACTGCTAATACAAAGAAGACTGGCAGTTTGAAGCCACTCCACAGCACCATAGAAGGAGAGTCTGATGCACTGTTTGCACATAGATTTAAAAATCCCAAAAGTAGTTACGGCAGCTCCATTCCTGTCAGGATATTTTCAGTGGTTTTGATCTTTCTAAAGTAAATCATCAAACATTTCTTCTGAGGCAGCCCAAGTGGATTTGAACCATTAATCTCAGTGTTTAGCTCCTTGTGCCTGGTTGCATAGTGGCCGCTTCTTCTTGGTTTGTACTGCCAGAAGTGACCCATAGCTGACTATCCAGTGGGTTTTCAGAGGCAGTAAATTGCACAGAAGGAGATTGCCCATTTTTCTCCCAGGGAGATTTGAATCACGTCCCTTCCAAGGTGTAGTGTGCTTTCTTACCACTAGGCCACCAGGAAAGAAACTGCATTGCTAATGTGAAGGTATGTAGTTTGAATTCACCTGAGAGAAAGTCCTGTGTGATTCACTGCTTCTGAAAACCCTGGACGGTCAGCTCTGGGTCAGTTCGGACTCGAAGGTACATTAACAACCACCTAGTGGCATAATCCTGAGGGAGTTGCACTGCTAACCCGTAAATAGCACTTCTTGGGCAGTTGGAACCCACTGGATGCTCTGTGGAGAAAGATAGGCAGCCTCCTCCTATGTGATTTGCAGCCTCAGAAAACCCGCTGGAGGGTCCTCAATAAGTTGATTCCAGCTCATGACAGTGAGTTGAGTTTAAGCTGACCCTCCAGGGACTCCCTGTGAATATCCGAGCTGAGAAAACGCCACGGAGCAGGTCTGTTGTCTAACACGTGCTCGCCATGAGTTTGAATCAACTTCGCAGAACTGGATTTGGACATTTCCGTCTTGACTTGTTTGGATCTCTGGTAGGAGCGAGAACAAAGCACTATCCCTTTTACTCTTCTCAAGAAATCACCTGTCTCTTTCATTCCAGGTCTCTAAAAAGTACAGCGAGATTGAGGAGTTCTACCAGAAACTGAGCAGCCGATACTCCCTGGCCGGCATCCCTGCTCTGCCCAGAAAGGTCTTGTTTGTTGGGGAGTCTGACATCCAGGAAAGGAGAGTCTTGTTTGATGAGATTCTGCGCTGTGTCTCCAAGGATGCCGAGTTGGCAAGCAGCCCGGAGCTGCTAGAATTCTTAGGTACCTTCTGCCCTGTCCCCTGTGCCCCTGTCCTCTTCAGCGTGGAGTCAGGCTCAGTCAGGGAGGGTCTGTGGCTGCCCCCTGTGGTTCAGAAGTTTCAGATCAGGACGCTGAGATGGACTAGCCTTACAGAGGCCTACGATCTGGGTGGTGGGCAGGGGAGACTTGGCCCTTGAGGAACTGACTAGCTGGGTGCCAGATGAGGTACCCACAGAGGTTATTCTCCATCTTCTCCCCATCCCTCAGAGCTCCCTCCTTTACTTCTGATTCCTTTGTCTCCTCACTCCCACTCCATCATGCACAGTATCTACAGAATGCTGGTGGCCTGGCTCTCGGGGACACCTCATGCCCAGCCTTCAGGCAAAGGTGCACACTGCATTGATTCAGCCTAACCCACTTTTCCCAGTAATGGAGGACCCTGAGCTTTTCTTCTAGTCTGTATCCCAGTCTCTTCTTTTTTATTTTTTCCATCTGTAAATTGGGGAAAATGTTAGTATGTACTCATCAGGGGTTGTTATAAAAAAATAAATGAGCTAATAAAGTTAAAGGCCTTAGAACAGAGTCTACAACGTGGTAAAGTTTCTGCCACCAGTTGCTACTGTGTTGATACCAGCTCCTGGTTCCCCATGTGTGCCGCAGTGGACTGTGCTGTCCAGTGAATTAAACGGATGGTTACCTTGGCAGTAGGTTCCCAGCTCTTTTTTCTCGGTTCTGCTACATGGTCTAAGCTCTCAGGCTTTCAGTGGCCAGTACATTCTCAGATAATTACACTTGGCAGGAAAACTTTTGAAAGCTCAAACCTGTAGAGGTGGAAGCCTGTAAGAGAAGGGAAATGTAAATATCTTTTAACTAAAATAAATGGTAGAAAAGTGGTAGCAGTGTCAAAGGTGAAAAACATAAAAAGTCCCCCCCACAAAAAAAAGAACAAGTGGGGTTTTTTATTATTAATAATGATTTTTAATGCAACATGGTTTTACAGCTTATTCTTTCCATTTAATTTTTCCCCATTTTTTCATTGTTGCACATTTTCCTCCCTGCCCACTCCTCTCCCCAGTTCGTTTTTTCTCTTTGAAAAGAAAAGAAATTCTTTCATTGTTATACAATCCCCCTCTCCCTCAAGCCCTGACAAGGTCTGACTCTCACTGACTCTCCTGTGTGTCAATAACTGTTAGGGATGAGGATGAACAAATTGTCTAAAACTGCACCCCTCAAGCCGCCGTTGAAGAAGGTCTGTAGTGTCCATGCTCAGTTTCTCAGAGTCTGGTACTTTGATAAGCACTGTCGCTCAGGAGAAATTGTGACACTTGTCCTGAGTAGCTAAGCACTCGCTCTCCCTTTCTCTGCTTGCTGCACCGTGGGCACCACCTGTGGACCATGCTGTGAGAAATGCTAGTCAGAGCCAGTTTGAAATGGAGCAATCACAGCTACTTCTGGAATCTTCTATGCCCTCACATTGTGCCTTAATCAAGTCCATACAATCTAAGTGCCCAAACCTTTGGAGCAAATCTCCATGCATGGCTAGAATGGCGAACATGCCCAAAGAGAGTGTAAACTCTTTCTGGAAATGTTGATTCTCTTTGAATCACTCAGTACATGGCCTACTTTATCCTCCCATCAGCTTAGTGGTGGCAGGTTCTGCCATCCCTGCCTCACATACAGACTCAGAGCCTCAGCAGAAGCTCTGTCCACCTTTGTCTTGCCCCGGCCACCCTTCTGAAACCACTGTCCACAGCCTCTGTGGTGCCCTTGAACCCTCTGAGACCTTGAGAACAGTTACCAGCTCCCACGCACCCAGCCTTCCTCCCTGACTCGTCAGCAAGTGTGGTCCTAGGAACAGTCCTCAGCTCCGGACACCCCCGCACAGGGGCCTCTCTGTCCTCTGATGTTAAGCCCGCTCTCTTTTGTCTTCCTCCACAGGCACCAGGTCCACAGGGAGCATGGATCTCAGCAACAGAGAGATCTCTGTCCTGGATGCTGATGATGGGGAGAATTTTGATTTCTTTGGGCAGCAGGATGGAGTGACAGGAGAGGATCTGCTGACCCTGGACCTAAAGAGCAAGGATGCTGGAAAACCCTTGGAAGAGGAAGAAGAGGAAGAGGAGGAAGTGGCACTGGACCCTCTGGGAATCATGCGGTAGGTCTCCCTGATCAAGGCTGCCCCCTGGAGCATGTTCCTTCCTCCCTGCCTCCCTGCCGTTTGAGAAAGCTCCTGTGTCCACAGTCCCTGCTCCACAGTTCTGGGCATTCAGGCTTGCGTGCTTACAGGGAATGTCCCTGCTTACCCTCTGCTTGGGCCATGTCTTGCCTTCCCCACCTGGGTCATAGGGAGTCCCTGTTGATTCTGCAGGGTGCTTTCAGAGCCACCCTGCATGACAGCATGCATCCCAGGCTGCCAGGACCCAGCAAGCAGCAGGAGAAGGCGTGGCCTCTCCCTAGCTTTGCCCTGCAGCAGAGTGACATGAGCTCTGTGGGGGGTCTAATTTCACTCTCTGCAAAACCCAAACTTAACCAGTTAGTGTTCAGTCATTTCTGACACGGGGCAGCCCCATGTCTGTCAGAATAGAACTATGCTTTGTAAGATTGTCAGTGGCTGTCACATTATAGAAGTAAATTACCAGCCATTTTTCACTTAGCACCTCAGGGTGGACTCCAGCTCCTTACCTGTCAGTGAGCAGCCAGGGTGTAACCGTTGGTGCCATGCGGGGCGTCCCCACTGTCTGTAAAGCAGGGGTGTTGTCTCAGCCTTGCCTCACTATAGGGCAGTAGTTATGCTTCTGTGAATTGCATGGGACCCAGAAGATGCCATCCGTGTGTAAAGCAGAAAGGTAGAGTGAGTCCTGGCTGCCCCAGCCAGTGGGCCACATCCCACTACACGCACACACACACACACCCAGGGAAGAACAGGCCAGCAGCTGTGGCCTCAATGGTTTCTGTCTCTTTTCCCATTTTGCCCGTAGCCAAATCAGAGAGCTGCTCCTATATATGTGGTCAACCCTGTGCTGAGCTGGAAGAAGGGCTCAGCACAGATGAGGGGACCAGAGAGCCACACAGCAGCCCCAAGGCCCCTCCAGCTTGCCCAGAAGGAGGTAACTTCCCTGAAGGGAAGCCAGGCAGATTCAGCTATATCCTTCTCGGGTTTTTTTGTTGTTGTTGTTTGGTGTGCTTTTTTTTGTCCAAACTTGCAAAGAACAAAGTGGGAACTAGTGTGTTTCAAGTCTTGTACTTGGCCCTTTACATACTGTATACCACACACTGGATGTCTTTGCAAGTAGCTCTTAAGTGTCCCATTTTACAGATTGAAGAAACTGTAGGCCAAAGAGCCAAATACCTCCTGAAGCTAGACAGCTGGGACACAGGGCCACTGGGATTGGAGCCAAGTTTCAGATCCTGTCCTGGGGAGCTAACTGGGGTGGGTGCAAGTCCTGGCACTGCTCCTTATTAGCCTGAGTCCCTGCAGTTTGTGCCGCATTTCTTCAGGGAACATGGTTAGGGACTCTCAAGTCAGTCACAACTCATAGACAGCCTGTGAACAGATCAGGAACGGGCACCATTGTCACTATCTCCGCCACACCTCGAGCCCCTTGTTGCAGTCACTTGTCAGTCCATCTTGTTGAGGGCTTTCCTCTCTTGCGCTGACTTGTTACCTTCCCCTTACCTTACTCTGTTATCACGGAAAACAGAGTGATGGTTCATATTCTTGCCACTGGGCCACCAGAGCTCCATTATATGGATGTATGTTTGTGTGTGTGTGTGTGTGTGTGTGTGTGTGTGTGTGTATAGAAAGAGAGATACAGATAGAGATATAGATATAGTTCTAGATATAGGTATATATGTAGTTATATATGTGTATATATATAGTTGCATATATATTGTTACATAAATAGTTATATATAATATATATATAGAGAGACATTATATAGAGTTATATTTATATATACACACACACTAAGGATGATAGAAGAAGAATCAATGCCTTTGCATTATAATGGTGAAGAAGAGTATTGAATATACCATGGACTGCTAATGTCTGTCCTGGAGAGGATGAAACCAGGCTGCTCCTTGGAGGCAAGGATTTTGAAGCACTGTCTGACATACTCTGGGGCATGTTGCCAGGAGGGACCAGTTCTTGAGAGGGACATCATGCCTGGAATTGTGGGGGGATAGCTCAAAAGAGGAAGACCCTGGCTGTGATGGATTGACTCAGTGACTAGGGTAAGGGGGGCAGGTGTGTGAGAGATGATGAAATAGGCACAAAATAGAGCAGGGTTCAGAGCTGTTGTACATAGGGTCGCTATGCGTCGAATCAACTCAATGGCACATAACAATATACAAAACATGTCATCACTCTGTTAGCAATTAGTTAACATTCTCCTCCTACCCCACTGCCTCTGTAGGATCACGCCCTAGACCAGAGATGACATTCTGCACATTGTCATTATTTGGGCACCTTAGAAGTTTATTGAACTGTTCAGTCAGCAGGGAATGAGGCCTCCTCAAAGGGTCTGTTAAAGAAGCCGGAACTGATTAGGAATCAGACTGTGGTCCTGTTAAATGGAACTCAGCATGAAAAACATCATCTCGAGGCTCTGCAAAACCCTGCCCACTCTCACTTGTGTGAGAGAGTGCGTACAGTGGAGAATGGAGATGTGGGGCAGGCCTGGCTGTCATGGGATACAGCATGAAGGGATGGTGTCACCTTCCTGATCAGGCCCTCTGAGCCCGATGGCATCTCAGCCAGGCAACAGTGGGGCAGGTGCAGAGGGTCTGCAGGTCCTGGGCATGCGGGGTGCCTGCTTTCAGACCCTGCCAGCTCCATGTGCCCAGGCTTATCCTGGACGAGGTCAGCAGCCATGTGGCAGGGGCAGTCTGGCTGGCAGGGTTATGTGGGGAGCAGGCCTGCTGGTAACAGTCCTCTCTTACCAACAGTGCCCAACCCTGCAGGCTTTGTTTTGGTAAGGATAAGGCTTTGTTTGAACTCAAGCTCTGTTCTGAGTAACCACATCTGGTGCCAAACCGAGATGGGCTGTGGTGGTTTGCGCCAACCTTTGGCTGAGGGACATGCTCAGCAAAAGCGGCTCCTTTTTTGGGTAGGAAAACCTCTTTGGGATTGGCAAATGCTGCCTTGAATTTCCTATTTATTCCAGTACAGGGCAGGATAGGGCAAGGTTCAAATCTCTTGTTCCGGGGATCACTCTGGGTCATAGCTGACTGAATGGCACCTAACAGAAGTGACCAGTACAGATTACCAGGGGGGTGTCTGCCAGCCAGGGACCATCTCCCTCCCTGTCCCTCTCCTCCTCTGACCTCCAGAGACCTTTACTTAATCCCTACACTAGACCAGTTTTGCACCCACAGAGAAATATCAGAAGCCAGTGTGATAAGAAACATATGTCAGTGCCGTCACCTCCCTCAACAGTCACAACTGATCTCTTTTGAGAGCTCATTAGGACCAGATTTAGCCCTTGCTTGTGTGGTCTCATATTCTCTTGTAAGATGGTGTTTCTGAATCTTTTCTGTTAGGACTGCCAGTAAAAATCATACTGTGTGTCATGTCCTAGTAAAGACTACTTTCTGGTTGGCATTTGTTTCAGCAGTCTGGGAGGTGGGACGGGAGGTGGGATTATCCCCATTTCACGGATGATAACATCCAGGACAACATGGAGCAAGGCCATGGCCAGACCCTTATATGTGGCAGAGCAGTGTTTTAAAGTGGGGTTCCCTTCAACCTCTTCGGGAACACCCAGATGTGCTTGTTTTGACTCTTGGATGAGTCTTGCCTAATCCTGCAGTCTTGCCTAACCACCCTTTAGTGCGGAACATCCTGTCCATGGCTGTTGACTTTCATAAATATTTTGTATGCACGTTTGTCTCCATCCTGCTCTGTTCTTCAGGTCTGGTTTCCCAGCCCTGCACGCTCGCCACTTCCGTGGCGATCTTAGGCCTGGTTCTGGGTGAACAGGACCTGGTCCTTCTCTGTTGCGACCACAGAGGGGTGCTGTTGCTCTTTCGTGGACCTGCATGGCACGGTGGGAGTCGCCAGCACAAAGCTGCCTGCCAGTGGCTGGCTTTTCTTTGTCTTTTAATCATGCTTTGGATTCCTGAAAAGATGGTATTACTGCAACATTAGAGAGTGTGTGGAGATAGAAAAAGCCCTCGCCAGGCCCAGCCCGGGACTGTGCTCCCCTTAGTTGCTGGGGTTTTGTCTCTGCCTGCCCCATAATTGTAGAGTGTACATGCCTTTTCACATCCTGCTTTTCCACTTAACATTTCCACTCAGCATTCTCTGTCCTGATCGATTTTCCATGTTGCACATAGTTTTCCTATTTAACTTCCTATCTGAGAGACTTCAAGGTTCTGTGTAAAATGAAGTTCTACCTTCCTAGTTCTGTCTTCTGCTGGAAAGACTCTGCCAGAAGCAGTTTTAATTATATTTGAAGAAATATCTGGTTTTTGTAGAAAAATTTAAAATGCAGATGAAAGTCTTTCCCCTAAGAATATATACTCATTTGAATGTTGGTGGTTTATTTGAAAATGCCATGTTGTTGTTTGTGTTGGTCCTTAATTTGCCTTCCTGCCACCACCACCATTTACTACAGTGGGTTTTTCCAAATCCGTAAATGGGTAAATGTACGTCTGAATTCTCGTTCTCTGCCAGTCAGTCCTTCAGGCTGATGTGCTGTAACTGGCATAACCGGACCCCTCCTTTCTTGTGTTGTTGTAGCGTTCCATTAAGTCAGAACTGACCCATAACTAACCTTCCAGTGGGTTTTCAGAGGCAGATAATCACGTGGGAGGAGATTGCCCATCTTTCTCCTCTGGAGCAGCTGATGGATTCGACTGTGCACTTTTGAGTTGGCATCACAACTCCTTAGCACTAGGCCCCCAGAGCTCCCTCTTTCCTGTGTGTGTTGTACTTTGGTAGAGCATTGCTGTTCTAGCCAATAACTTGAGAAACTTTTTCAGAAAGAGACCTTTTTATTCTATTGAGCTTTTCCACCCAATGCACACCCCAAGTTCAGGTCCCTTGAGTTGCTGCATGTCAGTGTGGGGTGAGGGGAGGGTAGGTGCTGTGTCTCTGGTTTTACTTGCTCAGTTAGAGAGAAATAAACCTACACAATAGAAACAGAACACCCT